AGTAAAATGATGTGTGTACTCCGGTTGACATGTGTTGTACGCTAAATCGTTAAGTAATCATGGAGGTGAACCAGTAAAGTGTTTTGCACGGGATCCAACTGTAGTAGGGAACGTTGTTTTAGCGGATGTGCATTTTTATTTGCGATCGTCAATGTTGGTCATGGAAACTACCGAGTTTAGTGGCAAGGTTGTAAAGAAGTGGAGACAAAATGCTTTATTTAGAGCCATTTGTCCCCCGGTACTAACTTCTTCGATTTATTAGTTTGTTTTATCTGTTTCGTCCGCGTTTTACAACACGGAATCTATTTGACCTGATTATACACAGTGATTTGGGGCCTTATCGAGTTAGTTCAACATTTTACCAAATTAGTAGAGGAACGAATTGTTTGCACTTTGTGAAAATAGGGAGGAACTAATGCACAAAGAAATAAATAATTTTAGAAGACAGTTTTTGATATAAATCTAAAACTCTTTCATGTTTCAAATGGATTGTTTAACCTGATGTTGAACTATATTTACATAACTAAGCAAATCAAACTTTCAAAACTTACATGTACTATTTAGTCCAGGCGCTAAACGGGTTGAGTATGCACTGAAAGTCTGACAAAATTTGACTTTTGATTATTGTTGGGGACATCTAGTAGATGAAAAAAATCGATGATGTCGCATTTCTAGGGTGGTCACAACTCGGGGGGGAGGGGGGAAGTTGCGCGGGTCATCGGTTTACGTTTCCGCGTCTAACTCACAAACGGTTAATGATAGAAAGGTGAATTAAGCGTCTATCTACGCCTAAATATATTGTCCTTCAAAAAGGTTATAACAACCTTTCTTCTATCTCTTATACTTTAGGCGCTAATCAACATTTATTGCAAAAAATAAAATTTAAAAATACTTTAAAATGAAATATTGGAAATATTGCGCTTATTTAGGGCATGTTACAAACTATTTATGGTTAGAAAAACTAACAAGTAGTACAACAGCACCAAGTTTAAAGAAATATGTGCAAAAACAACAGAGCTACGTTGATTTCAGTAAAAGTAAACGTGGAAAATTCGTAGTAGTATCGAGGCGCGCATGGATGGTACGTAGCCCACAGTCAATATAGGTTTGATGTTGTAAGTAACTATGGGAAAGCTGAATTTTTCTATGCTGTTAGAACATGTTGAGATGATCATTTTCCAAAAAGTCCCCACTCCTACCCCTTTGTGCTTTCCTCTACCCCCCCCCCCGCCATTTTTAGATAAATTTACAGTCTCTTAGAAATTAAGCTATAACTTTAAAACGGGTAAGGATAGTAACGCAATCTTTAATTAATCATTTTGCGTTACGATATTCTACAAAAAGTGTATTTACCACGGTATCCTAAATATTCATAGTTAAAAAATATCATAAACATAAAAAAGTAATTTTTATGGATTAATTTATGAAACTTTTCTTTGTAGATTTTTTATACGAGGTCGCACAACAAAATGTTTGATACAAAATTAGGGGTGCATAGTTTACATTTTAAAATGATACATAGTTATTAACAGTTTGTTTGCATATAGTGGTTATAGATAGTACAGTAAATTGATTTTACAGGACTCTGGCTTTTTTGTGCACCGCAACGATGAAAAAATTACGTATATTATGGTTTTTGTATTTGAATTTGCCGCTTTATATAGATTATATTAACATTATGTAGCTCATTCAGTACATATACAGACTATAGTGGATACATATGAATGAATATCGTGCATTTGCTGCTGTACGCCAGAGCCTCATTTTATTATACAGGGTGTCTCGCCTAAAGTGAACCAATAGATAACTTTTTTATTATGAGATATAGAGTTAACTTCTTATGGGACACTACCCTTTATTTTAAGATGTGTTTTTAGTGGTTTCGAATTTTAAAAATATGTTCGCCATTTTCCAATATGGCTGACAACTTTGTTAGTCCTATAGAATACCCTGTATTTTATGATTGTTTTAGAATGTAAACACTCAATTTTTAAACCTTTTTATTCTTGACATTTTTCTCTAAAGCTACTTGTTTAGGAGTTACATCGAAGAAGAAATGGTTTGTGAGTACATCCTGCATCCTGTAGCTCATAAACGAGTAAGTTTAAGAGCGAAAATACAAAGAATAAACAAGTTTTCAAATCACATCTACATAAAAAAACCATAAAATAAATTGTCCCAATATCAAAGTAAGCTACCATTTTTGAAAATAGTGACCATTTTCAAAAACAACAAAATCAGTATTTTTTAACGTATTATATATAATTTTTTTAACGAGGACTTATATGTGACTTATTTATTCTTTGCACTTTCTCTCTCAACTTACTCGTTTATGAGCTACAGGATGCCGAATGTACACCACAAGCCTTTCTTTTAGATATAACAGGCTGTAACTCCTAAATGGGGTAGGTTTAGAGAAAAAATGTCACGAAGAAAAAAATAGCTTTTAAATTCTAAAAGAATACTAAAATACAGCGTATTCCATAAGAAATAACAAAGTTGGTGGCCATATAGGAAAATGGTGGATATATTTTTTTTATTCGTAATCATCCCTAAAAACATTTTTTACAAATAAAGGGGGTCGTCTAATAAAAAGTTAACTCTATATGGAAAATAAAATTTATGTATGTTCACTATGTAATCTCAACCGGGATGAAACGTGTACCCTTTTATAGCAGAATGTCCAATTTTAAAAAAAGATACGTCAATTTTGGTCCAACAAGTTATATTTAAATGAATATGAGTTTTTTTTTGAATTTTTAAATGGCAAAGATTGGCGGGCACTTGGAAATTATCTTAAAGAGGCGTGGAGTAAAGGGTGGGAATTGATAATGGAGTATAATTATTAAATTTAAGAATTAAGATATCAATACAAAAATGGGAAAAATCTATGTAATTTAAAAAAATTATAAAATATTGTTTGTTAAGTATCTATCAAAGTAATTACAAAAGTAACAGGTTTGTTTTATGAATTATTAACTGTTTGTAGGAAAAATTCAGATTCTCAGTAGGCTACATTTAAATTGTATTATTCATTCAATTGTTATCTGATCTGTATTAGTATGTAGTGCTATTTGTGTATATTCTGTAGTTGAAATCAGTTTATTTTTTGAATAATTGTATGTGATTCATGGAATTTTTTTCAACTGTTTTAACATATTTTAAAATCAGTGTGTCTAACACAAAACAGACGGTCTTCGACCATTGTTCTTTGCATTTAAATAAAAAAAAACACTGTATTGATATTTTATTACAATGAACAAATTTTCTTCTTCTTCTTCTTCAGAAATCCATAATAATTCTTTTTAAATATTTATTTATCTCATAATTCTTTTTGTAGATTATCGTAACGCAAAATGATTAATTAAAGATTGCATTATTATCCTTACCCGTTTTAAAGTTATAGCTTAATTGCTAAGAGGCTGTAAATTTATCTAAAAAGGGGTGTTAAAAGGAAAGCACAAGGGGGGAGGAGTGTTGACTTTTGGGAAAATGATCATCTCAACATGGTCTAACAGCATAGAAAAATTCAGCTTTCCCATAGTTACTTACAACATCAAACCTATATTGACTGTGGGCTACGTACTGTACCATCCATGCGCGCCTCGATACTACTGTACTACGAATTTTCCACGTTTACTCTTACTGAAATCAACGTAGCTCTGTTGTTTTTGCACAGATTTCTTTAAACTTGGTGCTGTTGTACTACTTGTTAGTTTTTCTAACCATAAATAGTTTGTAACATGCCCTAAACAAGCGCAATATTTCCGATATTTCATTTTAAAGTATTTTTAAATTTTATGTTTTGCAATAAATGTTGATTAGCGCCTAAAGTATAAGAGATAGAAGAAAGGTTGTTATAACCTTTTTGAAGGACAATATATTTAGGCGTAGATAGACGCTTAATTCACCTTTCTATCGTTAACCGTTTGTGAGTTAGATGCGAAAACGTAAACCGATGACCCGCGCAACTTCCCCCCCTCCCCCCCGAGTTGTGACCACCCTAGAAATGCGACATCATCGATTTTTTTCATCTACTAGATGTCCCCAACAATAATCAAAAGTAAAATTTTATCAGACTTTCAGTGCATACTCAACCCGTTTAGCGCCTGGACTAATTTACGTATTATTTTTTTAAATGTTCATAAACACTTTAAAAAAATGTCCAAATTTGTTACATCAATGATCTAAGCATTACAAAATCAGAGTTTGCAAATTCACGCATTTACACATAAGTTCCTTTCTGTTCTGTTTCTATGAAGAAAGTGAAAATATGTACAAGAATAACAATTGTCCCAGTTATAAAGTGGAATATTGGCAGTTTGTGTGAAATTTAAAAAGTGAAATATCATAGTCAGATGTTAATTACAGCAAGAGATTACTTTTGATAAAGGAATTCTCGGTATAAATCGCTCTAAAGATAGGATTGGACGTCTAGAATAATCAAAGTCTAGGAAAGTTCAACAAATAAAATCTAAACTAGTTATCTTTTACGTGTTCTTGAAGGGATTCACTCCATTACTTTGTCCAATCTACTGAATTATCAGATAGTTCACAACTTTGTCAATTTAGTTTGAGATTTATGATACTGTAAAACTATTAATTAACACTGAAATCAGAAATTTCTTATCAATCCAGAAAAAAGTGTATGGTCATTAAATATTTTAAGTTTTTTGCTCGATGATCTTTGGTTTATTTTTTATATTCCAACCCCGTGTCAAATCTGTATCCAAATAGGACGAAAATGAACGTTGTACACAAACTATATGATTAAATATAATTCTAGTCTGTTACATAATCTGCGTGAAGGCTCATTACTCTTTTTAAACAAAATACTGACTAAGAGATTTTGGGTTTTGAGTAACACGATTTGAGTAAATAAATAAATACCAATATTTATAGTTTAAGTTAAATTTGTTTAGTGGAAAACTAATTTCCACAAAAAAAGCTCCGCTGGAATATTTATGGAAAATTAATTAAATTCTATTCTGTTGTTTCAGAACACGTGGACCAGTGGCTGGAAAACTACTTGATCAGCAGTAAGAACAGTCTACAACGCGCCAAGGAGGGCCTAGACTGCTACTTCAGCGTCAGAACGATCATCCCAGAAGTCTTCACTCTGAGAGACCCACTGCTGCCAGCTGTCCAGAAGAGTTTTGAGGTTATGTAAGTTTCTATTGCACAATATGAAACCTTTGAACTGAAAATAATATATTCAAAATATCTTAACTTACTTTCCTCAACCTAAGAGTCACATTTCTTCAAATGTTTATACCACTTATTTTTCTTGGTGTAAAATTAAAAACGGGTGTAAGAAAATAATAAATCTTTACCTGTGATTCTCTTACATTGGTTTTAGGTAAATATAAATTGATATTACGACACGGTAACGCTCTTCCTTGATAGATAATGGAAATCATTTTATCAGTGGGATGCTAACATGGTAATATGGTGTATTCGACATAAAGGTTGTTTACAAGATATAAATGTTGTATTTCTCAGTAAACAGCAACTATTTTAGCATAGGGGGTTTGATAGACATTTACGTACCTCTGTTTAGCAAAACTTAAACATTCCTTCATTTCATGGCCAATAAAAAAAGAAACTTGTACATTTAAAATAAATGTTTCAATCACTCGTTGATTGATCATACCAGCCAAAAATACCAAGTTATCTTGATATTGGAAAGTATTAATTTTCAGAGTAGGTCAGACATTTTTCGGAACACGGTATTCAGCTACTATTGACTCAATATATCGCAGGTCACAATATTCATAGGGTTTCAATAGAAAGTTGCTTTGAAAAGCATAACAGCGAATTTGGCGATGTGCAGCTGAACCGGACGTGGCTTAGGTATTCTAGTGTTTCTGCTGCGGATTAAGTAAACTATCTAGCCTACCTGACCCTCACAATTGCAACAGTTAAAATCTGCAATCCAGAAATGGTTCACTGAAATTTTTTTCTCATTTGGTACGTCAGGTTTTTGAAGTTATCATAAATGAATAAAAACTGTATGGAGTTGTAAACTAATAAACGTTTTATAAAATCGCAACGATAAGCAACAGTTTGTTTTGTATGGTTTCAAAATAGTAGTAGTTGGTGTTTTTGGATCGTAGTAGAGTAAAAATAATTTCGAAACTCAAACGATTTTTTACAATGGCAGGTGTTTCAGTCTTTAGTTATCTTTGAGGGTCTTGGAATTTAAAAGTACGCATTTTTGTATTTTAGAATATTTATTGCCAATTAAATACATTTTAAATTTTATATAAACTACAGTATTTAGTACATTTCAATTTTCAGACTGAATATCCTTTGTCCAATTCAATAACCTCGCAACTATAATACATATCTCTGAACCATTAACTATATTATATTAAAATAATGATAGCACGGTTATATAAACATTGACTGTATACCATAGTAATATTTTATTTAGTCAGTCATGTTATAAAAGAGAAAAAGAACTAGTAAAATAAAAAAAATCTTTCTGAAATCGTCAGAGCTGATATATAGGCTTCGATACAAAATGATACAGACAACGAAGCAAATATAGCTCGCGCCTGCAAAACCTCAAACGGCAACCTAGGTGCTGCATTTGGTTTGCGTTCTGAGAAATGAAGGCTCTTTCAGACTCGTGCAGCATTAGAAGAGGTTTCGTATGTTTTCTTTCTAATAAACACATAGTTATTTTGGCTAAAGAACTTCAAGAATAAAAAAAATTGTGATTATACGTTGTAATGTTATACAAATGGACTTATTTATAGATTTAATCAAACACTAATACAAACCGTGGATTTTTTTTATAGTTAGTTTATTATAGAGGGATAATTGAAATTGAATAGAAAATCACTACACATGATAAATAGTTACGCACATGACTTATCAATCTTTGAGAGTAGACAAACTACATTCTATTTATTGTGGTAAACTCTGCGATTAATTTTGTTAGTTGAAATTTGGTGTCTCAAAATATTACCATTTTATAAACAACTAGTGCACCTGTTGCTCGAATTCGAGCAATTGCTAAGTATTAAAGGTTTTTTAAACAAATAACAGTCAAAATTTCCGTTAACCTCAAAGATAATTTAATCAATCACTCCACTTTTTTTAAAGAAGCCCTTAACTTATGTCTACTTCAAAAATAAAAATAAAATATGTAGTTCATTGAAGGGAGTATTTATTGGTTACTCTACAGCAAAGCTAAGAATCTCCTTTGGGTATTAAAATTCCAACCTCGAAGTCTTTGGTTTCCTCTGTTTGTTCAACATCCCGCACTTGATTTCCCTCGTCAAGTTGGCCTTAACTAGTCCTTCATAAAGGTTTTCCCATGGTATAGTTTGCTGCTAGCCTATCTGGTTTGCTGCTAGCCTATCTTGGTCTGATGCTGCTAGACCATCTGGTTTGCTGCTAGCCTATCTGGTTTGTAGCTAGCCTATCTGGTTTGATGCTAGACTATCTGGTTTGCTGCTGCTAGACCATCTGGTTTGCTGCTAGCCTATCTGGTTTGATGCTAGACTATCTGATTTGCTGCTAGCCCATCTGGTTTGTTGGTAGCCTATCTGCTAGCCTATCTGGTTTGCCGCTAGCTATCCTTTTTGTTTCAACTCCTAGACGGTGTTTCAGAATTTACCCCCATCTTTTAGAGCTTGTGATGGGTTCAGGGTCGTATCCTAGGCCTGGCTTTGAATGTTTGCAGCCTCCTTATGTTTTTCACTTGTGTTTGTCCTTATTATTCCTTGCTTGTGGTTTGTCCCCGTCTAGCACCTTCTTCACTTCCTACCAGGAGCCCCACCCCCAAGATGGTGGAGGTGCAGGAGTAGGGAAACTGTCGGAAGGTAGTGGTTCAAGTACTCGCGGAACCAACACCCCGACACCTCCAAGAGGTGGCGGAGGCGGCCCCCCGAATACTTTCCTCACTACCCAGCCTACAGCGATCCCTTCACCCACACCTACCACCACCTTACGAACGCGACTCATGGTATACTAATTGACAAAAAAAGAAGACTTACTAAGATAATTGTTGGTGCTGTTGATTGTTTGAGAGTTTTCAATGAAGTGATTTAATGTTTCTATGGAAACATTTATAAAAGCAACATACAAATACATTGCATTTAAAACCACTTTAAAATTTCAAGTGTTGGTGATGTTAAGCATTATACGTTTAAATTTTTTCTCTGATAAGGATAACAAATATTCATTTATAAAATTTAATTTATGTTTCAAATATTTAATAAAATTTGCAAATATAACTTTGAAGTTCAATTTGAAATACAATTTTTAATTGTGTTGCAACACATGTTACAAAAGGAAATGTTAAGGGATTAGACGTTTATTTACATGAATGCAGTAATGTATCTCACAATGGTACATGTAGAGGGAGTAGAATTCCAAACAATCTATTTTTTCATTGCGATTCATAGCAGTGATTTTAAATTATTTGTATTTATGTGAAAAAAAAAATGTTTTAGAAAACTTCTCATAAAGTGAATAATTCATAACCGTAGGTCTGTTTCATGGTACGACCAGGGTCCGGGACCGATTTTATGATTCTGATAAAATGTAATACATATGTATAAAGCTACATTTATTCTTCGAAAACCAGCATGATCAGGCTATGGGAATGGGAATTTATGGATTAAAAATTGGTTCTACCCATTTTTGACCCCTAAAACATAACGTTTGGCTATTTCTTTCCAAAATATTTTGTAGAGCTTATAAACCAATAATTTAATATACTAGTGCACCTGTTGCTCGAATTCCAAAAAATATTAGATAAGTGTTACAGGCGTTATTTCAAAACAAACATGAATCATAATTTCCGATGACTTAAAAGAGTCAACTGAAAGATAATGTGTAATCAATCACTCCACTCCAGTCATCGAAACTGAAAACGAACATTCTTGTTTGTATCATGTGTTTACTATGAACAGCTGTAATTAATACAAATTATTCGTCTGCTAAATAGACAAAATATTTTTTTCATAAGAAATGCATTGGCATTTTGATGGCCTGTGGGGCCAAGCCCGAGAAAATTTATTACAGGAATTGGGGAAAGGGGGTGTCCACATAAAAAATACTATATTTTGACACATCGCTTGTAAAAATCCGTCCATTATCAACGGAAGAGTAGTGTTTCGTAGAAATCGCCTTCACGTATTATCTATATAGTCCAGTCAATGAATGATCCAAAAGTAGGTGTAGAGTGCGTGAGCAGGTAACTAAGCGATTCCTTCAGAAACTTGTTCAGGGGGCTTAGGGTGTTAACATACCAAAAGTCCTGACTCCTAGGTGGTGAGCCAGGGGGGGAGGGGGGAAAAGGGGGGGGAAAAAGGTACGCATTTTGGGTTTTTTGATTATATCTCGAAAACTATCAACTTCTTGTATACTATAGTAAATTATAAAATTGAAGAAGATTAAATTTTCTACAAGAAAAGTATATAATGTGTTTATTTTGGTTCAACAGATTACGAGTTATAACTTATTTAATTGATATCTTATTAAAATACTCCTTCCATAAGAAATACATGTAAATTAGTATGCGAAATGGGGCGAATCCTATCCGCCCAAAGGAAATATAACTGATATTCTGGAAATATTGACAACATTTCCAGTAATTTGACACTTTAATCATGAAGTTTTGTCAAAAATTAAAGCGAGGGTGAGCGTTTAAAAATGGGATGATTTAAGGTTTTTTTTATATTTCCAATAAAAAAAAAAACACCAAAACTCGAAATTTTGTTACCTCGCCCTCGCCTTAATTTTGGATCAATTTTAATGATTAAATTGTCAAATTACTGGAAATTTTGTCAAGATTTCCAGAATATCATTTATATTTCCTTTGGGCGGATAGGATTCGCCCCATTTCGCATACTAATTTACATGTATTTCTTATGGAAGAAGATTTTAATAAGATATCAATTAAATAAGTTATAACTCGTAATCTGTTGAACCAAAATAAACACATTATATACTTTTCTTGTAGAAAATTTAATCTTCTTCAATTTTATAATTTACTATAGTATACAAAAAGTTGATAGTTTTCGAGATATAATCAAAAAACCCAAAATGCGTACCTTTCTCCCCCCCCTTTTCCCCTCTCCCCCCCCCTGGCTCACCGCCTAGGAGTCAGGACTTTTGGTATGTTAACACCCTAAGACCCCTGAACAAGTTTCTGAAGGAATCGCTTAGTTACCTGCTCACGCACTCTACACCTCATTCCTTGACTGGACTAATAAGGATGCTCGCTATTCATGGGGCTCGCTATAGTGGTACTTTTATTATAGACGGGAATGCATATATCTTTTGAGTTTGAGTTTAAGCAATTGTAGCCAATTTTTAAGCCTGTATTGTGTATTATTTATTATACCTTTTTAAACTTCAATAAAATGTCTTGCGTACATTACACAGTATACATTTTGTATCAATACATTGTCCTAGGGGAGTGATTATCCTGCCTAAGCTGACTCCCGAGGGTCGTCGGGTAATCATGTTCTCACACCTGACTCCCAGCGCTGACGAGTTCGACGCCACGGTGATGCTGAAGAGGATATCCATGATGATGGATGTGATGCTCCAGGAGGGAGTAGACTACACGGGGATGGATGTGCTGGTGGATACAAAGAACGTGGTGTTCGGCCATCTGGCCCGGTACAACGCCTCCATCCTCAGTAGAACTTTCAAGCTAGGATGGGTAAGTACATGACGGTAACATGGGTACTTGGTACAATACAGGGTGGAACGAAGTTAGTGTTAAAAAATTTTATGTGTACTACTAAGTATTGGTGACAAAATGGCACCAATTTAAGTTTCCATAACCTCACAGGTAGGGAATAACAGACAATTTAAGATTTTTTCAAAATATTTGTACTTGCTTACATAAAATGGCCATAAGTGCTTTAACATTGTTTTAATTCCTAGTCATTTTCAGAATCCAACTTCGTTCCACCCTGTATAACGTTTTCCCCCAACATTTCTTAGGATTAAGAGGACCCCGGATATGTATATTTCTTGAAACATTCTATCTTCATTGGTCATTATGTGGGTACAGTGATTAGACTGCACGAATATAGAAGGGGGTATTGGGCATAAGAAATGCCGTATTTGGAGACAGTTGTATTTTGTAAAATTCGATAGCTCCTAGGCAGATGGTGTCCGGAGATGGGGGGATGAGACGTTATTGGGGATCGAAGTGTTATGGGGCAGCAATATTGTTGTATTTAATTGTCATACGAGCTGCTGGAATGGGTAGGTGTAGTAGGTAAAAAGAAAGTGATTGGTAAAGAGATTATACCTACTTCAACTTGAATGTGTTTATTAACACTAAATGTTTGTTTTGAAACCCCAAACCTGTTGAAGTTAGGATAGAGCTATTAAGTGCTATGCAAGAAAAATCAGTATTACGCTTAAAACACTACATTTACCTACAATTTGTGTCATAAAAAGATGTTACATTTTTCTGCATAAAATAGGTAGAGCATCTTACTGAACATGTCTAACTTGTTTGTACATGCATAAAAGAACATGTATAGCGAGTGCACGTGGAAACCTACTCAATGGAGTAATGCTATGACAATATGTGAATGGATTCTTTTGTGAAATATAGCCAATTTCATTTCAGTCATTGTCTTGTTTTTCCAGAAAGGATACCCCTTGAGGGTGAACAAAATCCACGTGGTAAATCCCTGGCCAATGGTGGAGACGGGAATCGCTCTGTTTACTTCCTTCATGACAAACAAACTAAAGAGCAGGGTAAGTGCCCTTCAATAAATGCAGGGGTAAAGTGGGCCTTGAATAGTGGGAAAAACAAATAGAAAACAAAAGTAAAACGAATACAGGTTTTCTATAATTGTACTCATGCAAAATCTGTGTTTCCTGGGTAAAATGGTTATAGTTGATCCCAGCATAGGTGATGTGACGCATTTCAATTAACTGTACGGGTAATTTCAAAGAAAATATAGTTTTCGCTTTTTTTAAATGAAAATATAATGCTTTTGTAGTAGGTTATGCCAACAAAACCTAGAAAATTGTATGTAAATAACACCACACTGACATAAAAAAATCCAAGACTGTATTTCAAGTCTTCAATAAAATTTAAAGTATTAAATAACGCATAATTCTGATAAAAAACAGGTTTTGAGAGAAATGAATTTTTTCGAAGTTATATTTTATTTACTAAATTGAGAGTATATAAACCCTGAATGCATTTTGCAGATAGTAGTACACAGAAGTGTCAAAGATCTTCACAGACTCATACCTAAGAACGTGCTGCCTGCTGATGTCGGAGGAGAAGAACCTTCGATTGCTGAGCTGAATAGTAAGTCCCTACACGGTACACACCTCGCTAAACCTTACTTTATTGATGCTTCTACAGTTCGTTACTCAGGTTTTGTAGGTAAAACTGAGTCTCGCTGACAAAAATGCACTTCAAATAACTATCATTTATGTCGTTAATTATAAAGAAAAGAATGAATCCATTGAAAACTCCACGTCAGAACTAACCAACATGGTAATGTAATGCCTACTACCGTTGATGATTTACAGTCGACGCTAATACTTTCTCAGCATCTATGAAAATAGAAGATTGCGCTAAAATCAAAATTCGCTATAATCTCCTTTTTTATGTTACGTTATAAATGTGGACATAAAAATACGACGCAAGTCCTATCAAACGCTTACCTATTACAGTACAGTAGTTGTATTAAGAAACTGTCCGATTTGAAATACTAATTTAAATGTAAACTGTAGTGTAATTAATTGATGCAAGTCAGACTCAGTGAACTAAATAGGCCTAAAATTTAGTATTATAATACATTTAATGAAGACCATTTGCGACAGTAGGCCTACAGTTCGATCATCCTGTGTAAGGATAAATTTGCAAATACGAAACAAGAATTAAGAATTAAGTTTTATTATTCATCAATCAAAAAAACAATGGTAAATCTCAACGCTGTCTAAAGGAAATGCAAAAGAAGTTAAGACTTAAGTTTTGTGACTGTGAAATATGTGACGTTGGGGACAAATCTATTGCCTTTTTTGTAACAAGTTTTATTTCCCAAAGTAGCGTCCCTTTAGGCAGGCTTACAGTTTGGGTCGCAAAAACGTTGCCCTTTTAAACGACAATTCATCACAAGAATAACGTTTTCTTTATTATTTTGCTTATTTAACAGTAAAAAAGAGGAAGTTTGGTTGGTTAACGCAAGTTTTTAATTGTAACTGATCAAAATTGTAATCAAAATTTGTAGTCGTTATTAGTTTCACTGACTCACACTAACAAATAAGTCACCCACGTGGATTGTGTTGGGTAATTTTAATACTTGCTTCAATACTTAAATGCAATTTTAATCTATAATACATTCTGGAGTTTTCCTGACCTTTGTTTATGTTATTTTAGATTCTGGGGCGCAGGGAATTGTTATAACAATGTAAATATTTCTGTAATTACCTCATTAGGCATATAACGTCCTTATTTATTCCCAACCAGGTTTTTCGCCTTTATAAAACCATCAGTTTTTTGGAGGCTTTGTCCTGAGTATGGTGTCGTTTTAAAGTCAGGTATTAATCTGACGAATAATGAAAATTGTTTAAAGTGTGCCTTGAAAAATGAAAAATAGAAGTAGCCTTTAGTCTGGCATTCCTGTCCTCCGTGGCTGCTATTACTGTGACTAGCTTGTCATTTCAACATTGATTGAATCAAAACATTAATATTGACTAAGTTTTCCTACTAACATCAATACTTTATATCATCTCAGCTCTAAATATTGAATCGTGTTGCAGAGGATGATACACAAATAAGACAATAACACACAATAATACACAAATAAGTCAATTATTTTGCAATACTGTAATTTTTACCGTAGGTGATTATAGAATTGATAAAACAACTCAATTTCTATATATTTTAAATTTTTTATTGTGTTGTAGACAAATGGAAACAGAAGATCGAAGAGTACAGAGAATGGTTCATCTCCAACGAGAAAATCAAATCGGACGAAGCCAAGAGGGTGGGAAAATGCAGCTTCGAATCTGCAGCAGAATCTGCATTCGGAAATTCCGGTTCCTTTAGGAAAATCGAAGTTGATTGATAAATTCAACATGTGAGAGAAAACTATGGATAGAAAATTCCTTGTTGAAAACCCGAGATTAGCTTTATCTTTGATAAAGCTCTTTAGCTATGAAGAGTTTTAGTGTAAACGTTAGTAGATATAAAACGTTCAATGCGAGTACAATGTTCAATTCAATATTGATTAACTATACTAGAATTACAAACGTTAAATTAGTGTGTAACTTTTTCTAATGTTATTACCAATACACAGATGATTTTAATGGTCAAGATGGTTTATCAGGCTTATTGGTAAAACATCTCTTTTCATTTTAAACCTGTTCGAACATTTGGTCCATTGTTTTAAGACCAAATAACCGATAAATTTGGTGTGTTTACATTGTGTTAGCTATGCATTTATAAAAAGATTCTTCTTATTCTTACACCAACCTTTCTTATTATAGCTTTATATTGATATTGAATTGTTCAAAGTTCAAAGAGATACAACAAAGTGTTATGTGCATATGGTGTATGAAGACTTCCTCCCTCTTTATATGTAGAAATTAGTTTAATTTTGTAGTTAGAAGGTTTTTTGTTTTAATTCTACAATATATCGTATGAGAATGTATTACATAAAAAAATCTTGTTTTTTAATATTATCAATATTAATAATATTAATATCTCTTCGCACTTCTAAATTATTAGTGAGTGTTTATGCACTTTGATTGAAATAAAGTCTTTCCTTATGTACATACTTGTTATCGCTTGTTTGCAATATTGGTTGTAATTTATTAGTTACTCTGTTATGTAGAATAGTAAGTCCATTTGTAATTTTAATAAAGTGAGATTCTTAAAACTGGTCTTATTCTACCAATTAAAATCTGATTAAGTTAAAACATAAAACATAAATCAAAGTTACAAACATGTCAATCACATGCTCTGGGAGCTTTAGTGTATGGGACTTAGTTTTAATTTAGTAATGAGACGCAACATTTCACTTGATAATTATAACAACTAAAATGATTGATTTAGTAATAGCTATGCTCCTCAAATGAATATTAATATTTCCCTCATCGCACGTTATCTTTATAATTGAAATATATATCTTACATATATCTCATTTCAGACATCAGAAGTAATATTCAGAAGTAAAATAAGTTGCCTAACAATAGAAGAAGATCTAAATATTAAGAAATGTCGAACCCCTATGGTAGTAACTTAGATTTTACCATAGCGGAAATTTTTAATGTTCACATAACAGTAATACCGTCAAAACTAAAGAAAACATGTACTAAATTGACTTGACTTCAATTCTTATACACGATATTCATCTCAAATCTTAAGTAATTAGGACCCTTAAAGGTCTACGAAAAAAGTCTACTTCCTTAAGCCAGGCCATCAATCCTGAAGGTTGATTCTTTATTGTGCGCAAAAAAGTAATTTAACTCCCTCAATAGCGTCGTGATTAATAGAGATAAATTATAGTACCATTAGCCCGTTGTTCACCCCTTTCACAGAGAAAACTCATAAAATTACTTTGATATTTTGGCAAGTAATGCATGATTTGATTCTTTTTGCTCGTGTAACCAAAAGGTACTTAACTATAAAAGCGTCAATAATTTGTCATTGTGTTAGTCGTAAAAAAATTAAATGATTAAATAACCGTTGCTTCTTTTTATAGATCAAATCATCCATACTTGGCAAGGTGATAAATAAATGGTATTTAGGGCTAAAAATTGACTTGACATGATCTTGTTCGAATGTTAAGCACGAGAACATAAGCGACCAACCACAATCGAATAACCAAAGCAAACTATTTGTATTCAGGTTACGAACAGAATTCCATATGTATTGACTAAAATACATTACACGAAGCACGTCACATTAATACTGTCAGTTTGATTATTCGGGACGATTGTAATGTATTTGACATATTCCATTTCCTGTTCGCAATCCACTCTTTAGTTACCAACCCTGTCTGGAACAGAAATGCGAATATAATACTTGATATTTCATAATACCTTCGCTTATATTTCAGCGAAGTGGACTAAAATTAACACAAAAATTAATTTCATTTCAATACACAATCATTGCAAAGATATACTTTCATTTAGACATGTTTAGGTCAACTACAATAGGTCTACTCATGAAATTAAGTAGCCTAGAAAAATTAAGTTAACTTTGTGGTTCAGGTTTGCCACTAAAATCCAGGCCCAAGTTACTTCCAGCTGTTGTGAAAACAATTATTTAATGGATAGAATAATTGCAAGTACCTTAGCTGCAGAAAATGTCTATATCGGTATCGAACCGCGAACTTCTTGACTAGAAGGCGAGTGCTTAAATACCACTCTGGCCAATCTAAGAACATCGTTCTTTTATCGGTATATTTTCCATGATTTACTCTACCCTTTGTGATGGGGGAGATCATAACCTTGGATAAATGAATTACTCCATAAATACCGACTCTAGAACCGTCCCATTTTATGGGGGTTCCGACGTAAACCGAGCACACATCTTACAGACAGGAATTGTTTCTCTCCTTGCGTAAATTTTACACAAACTCTCCATCGTAAATATTCTAAGTATTGCTCAAGCTACACGTTTGTTATTTCTTCTTTAAAATGAACCTTCTAAAGCATGTTTACAAAATATATTAATTATTTAATTAGCTTCTACACGTAGATGACAATGTAACAAACTAGGAAAGATAAAAGTAACATTAAAACATAGTTTAACATTGCAATCTGATTAAAGCTTTTAAGAATCGAAAGATATATTTTTTTATGAAAGTTAACAATTGATTATAGATGTAACGCACAGTTATGTTACTATTTCATTATTTAAAACAGAAAAATTCAATAAAATTGGCTCTGCCGAAAGAATTTTAATTTCATTAACGTGTTTATAAAATATATTTTATTTGGCAAAATAGTTTCCTAACCCTATTTAATGTGACTAATACACTATCGTGGTGTAACTATGAAGTACAGTAGTAATAATGTAAGGTAAAAGATATTAATGCATTTTCTAAACTATGTTAATAAGATCTAAAGTAAGTTTAAAGATTGAAAAACTAAACTGATTGTATTTTAAGTGCGTCTTAAAAGGATTTTCTCGATCTTCCATCATCCTTTTAACGTAACTGATATCTAATAGAAGAGAGAAGAGAGAGAACTTGGTTAAAAATCGATTTAAAAAGTACCGATTAAGAAAACGTTATCGAAAGATAGTACCCGAATGAATAATACGTTACATTACATTTGGTTAGTAATAATAATACATTAATTTAATTTACTTTGATAAATGGTTGATTTATGGTAATGCAAAATCTTTATAAGCCTAGTCAACCTAGTAGGTTGAAAAAAAAAACGGTATAAACAGTTTTGTTTTATGACAATAAAATAATCAATTAGTTTACTTACCAACCAATGATTAAATTGTATTAGTTAAATCGTTTCGTCCTGAAGTGTTAGTTTCCAAAATTAAGACAATAACAAGATTTCACCTCGTACAATTTCATCTAAGTCAAAACTTTATGCCAGCAGAAGTAGATTTTATGTTTAGGGCTATAACATAATTGTAAATTCTGTAATGGTAGTTTTTAAAACCTTATCGCATTTATTAATGTAATTTTATATTGACAAATGATTATGAATATGTGTATTTTTTGTAGGAATAACATTTTGTAGTTCATTCAAACGCTGTGACATAATATTGTACGATAATAGTTCAAAACAAAGGACAGTAGCGTTCAAAAGCTTTGAAAACGATCGTTTTATAAAAACTTCATTAAACTGTGGCTTGACAGCACCAGTCTATAATGACAATTAACTATGCCCGGAATTAACAGTCTGTTACAAATAATGAGTTATACTGCATAGGTACACCATTTGGAATTTTTTTTTATTGTATATTATTTTTATATATTTTTTTGGGAATAATGCATTGAAATTAAATTGAATCGGTGAAAGGAGGGTTCTAAAATTATCACAAGTACAAACCCTAACACTATTACACTTTTTATGTTTAATGGTTTATCTTTTGATTGTATCAGTACAAATGTTAAGATAGGTGTTACCCTTGATAAGCGTTCGCTATTTACAACTTAATCCTCAGTGGAGCCAGGTGCTGAATTAAGCATCGCTTAGCACAGCTGACCGCAGCTCTGCGGGTCTGTACATGGGCTTACATTGAAACTTGGCTAAACCACGGGGAACGCATCTTGAATATATGTAAACCATAGTATTTGAAACGTAGTGACATTTGGAAATGGTAAAAGTATTGAATAGCGAGATGGAGTCTAAAGCTTGATGATTGGATCTTTAGAAGAAATTAATTTTAACCAAGATCCCGTTCTATCAAGCTGTTGATACAGGTCGACGATTAGGCAGTAAGACCCTACTACGGGCGTTTGGCCCGTACTATAGAAAAATAAAACAAAAACTAAGCAATACATCAAGCGTATCAAAGATTAGTAATCAATTAAAAAAACTAATTATAAAACCTGCACTCAATTAAGTTAAATCGGGCTCAAGGTCTTAACACTTATCAATTACAGTGATTGAGCAGTTTAAGCCCCACGGGGTTTACAAAACAATTTATTTTTCCTAAATTGGGTCGACTGTGTGAAGGAGGGTTATTGTGTATGAGGGCGCGAAAACGTAATTTATGTAATAAATACGTAATGTGTACTCCTTCAATATCGGCGTAGTAAATTAAAATAAATTATAGCTCCAGTGTTCCTTTAAATGTGTATTTCCTGACAAAAATCTCTTGAACCATGTTTGTTTTACTGTGAGTAAAAGCAAGTAGCACATTTGTTACGACAAGCATTCAAATATAGACTGTTATTTTTTTTAGAATTCAGTAACTTCAAAACTTTGGAACTGCAAATATGTAGGTTTTACAACAAATACTTTATTTATTTCTAGTTCTATCAATAACGATTTAGTGGACAAATATTAAATAAAGAAAACAAAACTATTCTTAGTTTGGTAATGGTTTTCAAGCAAAACTAGTGGAAATATGAAGTTTCATTAAAAATATAAATCTTATATATTAAAAAAATTTGGTTTTTCTTTTCCGAGTTCGTTTGGCTCTTCTACCCGACCGATTTTCATGATTGAGGTCTCAAATTGAAGGTATGCACGCACAGATTTTCCATCAAGCATCGGAATATAGTTATCTATAATTCCACGCGATTTCTACGTAAAAGAAATTTGCTCCCCATGTTATTCTTATGGGAGTTAAATTTGGTTTATCTTTGCCGAGTTCGATTGGCTCTTCTACCCGACCGATTTTCATGATTGAGGTCTCAAATTGAAGGTATGCACGCACAGATTTGCCATCAAGCGTCGGAATATAGTTATCTATAATCCTACTCGGCTTATACGTAAAAGAAATTTGCTCCCCATGTTATTCTTATGGGTGTTAAATTTGGTTTATCTTTGCCGAGTTCGATTGGCTCTTCTACCCGACCGATATTCATGATTGAGGTCTCAAATTGAAGATATGCACGCACAGATTTGCCATCAAGCATCGGGATATATTTATCTATAATCCTACTCGTCTTATAAGTAAAAGAAATTTGCTCCCCATGTTATTCTTAAGGGAGTTAAATTTGGTTTATCTTTGCCGAGTTCGATTGGCTCTTCTACCCGACCGATTTTCATGATTGAGGTCTCAAATTGAAGTTATGCACGCACAGATTTGCCATCAAGCATCGGGATATATTTATCTATAATCCTACTCGTCTTATAAGTAAAAGAAATTTGCTCCCCATGTATTTCTTATGGGAGTTAAATTTGGGGTTTCTTTGCCGAGTTCGTTTGGCTCTTCTACCCGACC